CTCCCTAATATATGGTCGAGCGCAGTGTGGGCTGGCTCATCCGTCATACTCGTGAACGGGTGCTGCTTGTAGGGACTGGTCTGCTCTAATCACTATGACTGATTTCCTCTGATTAATTGTTTAACCAGTTGGTTATATATTCAATATTTTTTATATTTGAGTATATAATTGAATTAGTGCTAATTGGTGGTTTGTATTCACACACTTAAACTTAAAAATGTAAAGTAATAATAAAATTATTTAAAAGAGCAACACGCAAGTTTCTTGCTCGTTCTTCTTGTGATGAGACAGCTTTCCGAACGAGCGATAGATTAAAAAAAAATGTAATGACTATTCAAAAGAGCTTCAATGTAAGTTTATTTGAATAAATGATTTTCTATTCTATTCTATTCTATTCTTACTGTTTTAACAGAAGCTTTTAGTAGTTTATGTAAAGGATAGAACCCTATCAGCTGTAACAGAGTTCCGTACCTGTTTTCCAATCACGGCCGCACTGCGACCGAGCTTATACAAACAGCACGAGCTTTCCGTTGTCCGATGTGTGCTCGCCGTCGCCGAACCGTAAAGCACTGAAAGCTTGCAATGTAAACAAAAGCTGCTTTGTAACATAGTGAGTCTTGTTTCTAACAGTGTCAATAGAGACACAGACAGGATGAAATTTTGTTTCGTATCAACATTTAAAGAGCTTGATGGAAGATCGTGGAAAGTGGCAAAGCTCCACCGACAAGAGCGTGGCTCTTAAATTATGAATGAATGAATGAATTTTAATATAGCTATTACCACGGAATTCCGCGTTCTTCGTTTTCTTGCCAGTTCTTCTCAATTGGATCTATATACTGAACTGGAGTAGGGAAAAAAAATTAATATAAAAAAAGACGTTCATAGACAGCTAAAATGTCCTACATGAATAAATTATTTTTGAATTCGAATTTGAATTTATTCGTCGTCCATTCCACGCTTACGAAATCGCGGGCACAACTAGTCTACACATCTATACATATAAATAAAATTGTAGTGTCTGTTTGCAATATTGAAATAACCGTTTTTTACTACATGCATATGAATATAAATACGGTACATACACCAAAATAACATTTTTTATAATTTTTATCTGTCTGTTTGCTCCGGCTAATCTATAAAATGGCTGGACCGATTTCGACGGGACTTTTTTTGGCAGGTAGCTGATGTAATAAGGAGTAACTTAGGCTACTTTTATTTTTGAAAAATAAAGTTAAATTCCACGCGGACGATGTCGCGGGAACAACTAGGGATTTTAGGCTCCGTAACCGTAACCGTAACTATCAGATATCCGATATAAAAAAATAAAATATCCGTAACATAACCGAATCCGAAATAAGAGTTTCAGATAATATCGGATAGGGGCGGAGCCTAATTGAGACACGTTATGTAACCATTTTATTAGCTATTTGCATTTTACTTTTGAAGTTCCTTAAAAAAATAATATCCGTAACCGAAATTATCCGAAACTAACGGATAATCCGAAATAATTTCATATCCGCATCCGTATCCGGTATAATAATCATTTCTATATCCGAAACCTATCCGTATCCGATATTTCATATCCATAACATCCCTGATATTGAGTTATAAGCTAAACACAGATCTGTTTGTTGATCAGAGTTCGGCTCACAACAAACGTAACTTAATTTGATTTACTCTAATCGTTTCAAATACCTACAAGCAAACTGTACATAATACTGTTTCGGATCGACGTGCTCCCTCTAAGCTCCCGTTGAGTGCAATGATGGCTGGCTCATCCGTCATACTCGTGAACGGGTGCTGCTTATGGGGACTGGTCTGTTCTGGTTGCGAACACTGATAAATTTTTTTGTTTTTGCAATAGCATATGCTGGTGGTCACTCTATTCTCCCAAATTTGAATTTAAATGAATCTGTATTATTGTAAACATGTACAACATTTATTTGAAAAGAATACGAGCCGAGTTTAGTCAGTTCTTAGCACGAAATCATCCGAACTGACGGTAGATTTGATATATCATAAGAGTCTGTAATATACTATTACTATACAGATACCATTACAGTACATTACTGTACAGACATTAATAAAGATATATTTTGACCCAGTTAACTTTATTAAACCTCTATACTACTTAATGGATTTGTATTAGTTTGTTTAATTCCTCTACCATTAGCATGTGCGAGACCACAAATATTCAGTGCGCGAACCTCACCGCTACTGGAAGCGTTACCTTCTCTATTGGTGATCAAATTCCGACCGTTATTGAATCTACACTGATATTGCGACATGTGTTTCGCCTGCACGAGGCATCATCAGGCAATGTCTAGATTTCAGATATAGCTTGGAAGCCTAGTTCACTATTCGGTCTTAGTTCTCGAAGCACCAATATATTTTTAACAGTTCCAATCGAAGATATGACATTATCTCCTTTTATTGGACGATGTACATATCTTAAGATGCTCTCCGACTATTTTTCTACTATAGTTTTCTACTATATTAACTTTAATAACTGTTAACGATGAAATGAATTCGATTGCGCATTTCAGGAGACTCGTATCAAATGTGGTAATGTAATCATTTCTGAAATGTTAAAATATTTTATTAGGTATCTTTTTACGGAAGTCCATTTCATTGCTTGATGGATTTACATTATTTTGTTTCATTCCGCTACTGTTATCATGTGTGAGACCACAAATATTCAGTGCGGAAACCTGACCACCGCTACTGGAAGCGTTACGACCTTCTCTATTGGTGGTCAAATTCCGACCGTTATTGAGTCTACCACCCATATTGCGACACGTGTTTCACTCTGAACGTCATCATCATTGAATAAAGTTTGGATATAGCTTGGTAGCCGGTATACTATCAGGCTCTTCAGTATATGCAAATTCGTGTGTAAGTACGTAAGTAAATAGTTCATTCATTCATTCATAATTTAAGAGCTACGCTCTTGTCGGTGGAGCTCTTGCCACTTTCCGCGATCTTCCATCATGCTCTTTAATTCTTGATACGACACGACTCCCATTTTGTCCTCAATTTGTTTGATGTAGCTATTCCTTGGTCTTCCCCTCCCCCTCTTTCCTTCTATTTTCCCCTCAATAATAATTTTCATGAAATCATCGTGCCGTATCAAGTGCCCTAACATTTTTCCTCGTCTATTTTCTATGGTGTTCAATATTTGTCTTTTTTCTTTTACCCTGTCTAGTACTTCTTCGTTTGTTACTTTATCCTTCCAGCTAATTCTTTCCATCCTCCTAGTAAATGGTAGTATTGCAGATTTATTTGTTTCAAGAATTTCAATATAAACGCACCCCGCTGTCGACGGGGCGTCATTTCGCTCGTCGAGGCGCCCTAAGTCGTAGGAATGATCACCATTGTTTCACAAAATTACCAAACTTTTGAGTGTTTTAGCGCTCTCGTTCGACCGTGGGGAAAGCCATTTGCGTTAGATATAGCCGGGTATTTTGCTATCCTGTACGTTTGCCTCCTGCCTCTTTTGAGGTTTTATTCTCTCTCTACAGGCTTTTAAGTATTTATGGTCGGTAGAGTTAAATACTGCAACTGAATTTCGATTGAGCTAAAATTTGCATACTCGTTTAGTAAAGATAGATAGATAAATTCTTTATTCACAATTACAGACACATAACATACATGAGATACAGAAAAAACACGAATTAATAAAAGAAATGTAGGTGAGTTTATGTGCTGCGAAAGTGAAAAGGCAGCCAACTCACACTCACACGTGATGATAAATTACAAAAAGAATCACCAACTATACTAACAACGTGTAGGTTTTCGGTAACGACAATAATGTTTTTATAGGAAAACTTAAAATCTATAGCACTGACAATATTATCTCATTACACTAATAATGAGTGCGTAGCGATTTATATGTTGATTATCGCATGCCTCTCACTTGTTATACTGTAATTATTATATAAAAAAAACATCTATTCAAAAGAGCAACAGACGAGATTCTTGCTCATTCTTGTGATGAATCTGCATTCCGAATGAGTGGTAGAATCAAAATATGATTATTCAAAAGTGCTTGTAATGAGTTTATTTGAATAAAGATTATTTCTATTTCTATTTGTTTTCGGGTCAAGCAGCAATATCACAGATTGCCACAGATAATTAAACTACAGTCCCAAATTTAATAGTCGGCAATGAATAATAAAATTCAGTTGGTAATTTGCGAGTACCAGGAGCAACCGCGTTATTGGCAGTCATTTGTTTTATGAGCTGCCTGAACTGTGGACTGTTCTCTCAGACGATTGTTTATTTCCACTGGTTTACGATTTTTCGGGAAACTTCTATAGACTTGGTTAATGATTTTGTCTGTATTAAATAAAGTTTTAAGTATATTTATCCATTGATATACCCTCGGTCCACCAGAGTTGTGCTTAATTTGGACCACGACGGTGCTGTGTAAATTGTCCAGATTTTTTTCTCAATAGGTCTTAATATATGGTCATTTAGTCCCAAATTTAGCAGAGTTACTACAAGCCAAATTATGTAAATATTGAATAAATATTGTATAATATTATGCAGGTGCTGAATACCAGCGCCGCGACAGTTGGCTGTCGCGACAAATGCTGAGTGTCGGCCTGCTGAGTCTGGCAAATCATAAATTATTACGTACTGTTAAATATAATTTTTTGTAATGTACGCGTCTATACATATATATATATGTGCATGTAGATGCTGTACTGGTTTCGTCTGTCAAACGGTTACTAACCCAGTTTTTAATGTTATTCATCTCTGAAAATAATGACTCGCAGGCATAGGTAGGTGAAAATATTGTTAAAATAGCATGAGCCAGCTTCTTCAAACAGTTTTATGATCGACGACGTGCCCGAAATATTTTGAGGCGAACCAATGGCATGCGTGCCATTGGTTGACCTACCCTGGACTAGACTATATTCTACGCAGGTAGAATAAAAAAACAAAGATAATGCTGTTATAAAACTGGCAAAATTTCCTTAAACAAAACACCTCAGACTTGGCAGACCAGGCGTGGATGCTCACGTCCGCCATGAAGCAGGAGAAGCAGTTCTCCACGCCAAATTCCTGATCAACGAGGGTGCGCTGGTCACAGCGACTGCTGACGACCAGCTCCACCTGTGGACCTTCAGGCAAAAGTCCCCACATCGCGCACAATCGCTCAAGTTCCAACGAGAAAGGTAAGTTTTTTATCATTTAATCTTATCATCTCCTTGATCTTAATTTGTTTATCTGTATGTATAATATTACTCAACTACACGTTTTCATGATTTATTTATAACTTTACATAAACTTTTGGATACTGAGGTATATTCTTACATCTCACTTCGGCGCCAAGCAGCTTTGTATTAAAGCTTTGTATGCTTAAAGTTTTGCATTTAGAAAGCTCTAAGCTTCTACCATACAATCAAACCATCTTCTTCTATAAATAAAATTGGAGTGTCTGTTTGTAATATTGAAATAACCGTTTTTTATTACATGCATATCAATATAAATACGGTACATACACCAAAATAACATTTGTTACAATTTTTGTCTGTTTGTTACGGTTAATCTCTGAAATGGATGGACCGATTTTGACGGGACTTTTGACAAACTTTCATCCCCTATTAGATCCCCTTGGGGATAGAATTAATCAAAATCCTTTCATAACATCTACCTGCATGCCGAATATCAGCCCGATCCGACCAGTGGTTTGGGCTGTGCGTTGATAAATCACTATGTCAGTCACCTTTGAGTTACATATATTTAGATATCGATCAAGCAAGCAAGCGAGATCCCGATATGCCATCGGATTTTGAACCTTATCATTATAGCGACAAGACTGGCATTGATGTCAATGATTGCCTCTTTTATAATGTATCGATCAGGCAAGCAAACGAGACCCCAATGTGCTATCGGATTTTGAACCCTATCAATATAGCAACAAGATTAGGATTGATGTCAATGATTGCCTCGCCACTTATATCGTGTACCGATTGAAGCAATTTCATCAATACCGTGATATTATGAACGTAATAACAATATTTGATAACCGGCGAGACGTGGAGCGGATATCGAATCTTAAAATATCCGCAGATTGTTTGTATGTAGCTCGAAGGGTTCCTTTGTGTTATATACACTTAGTATATATATATAAATCTACGCTATATACACATATCATGAATACCAAATTTTTTTATCACACGTAGGTGGCAAACAAGCATACGGCCCATCTGATGGTAAACGGTTACCGTAGCCTATGGACGCCTGAAACACCAGGGGTGTCACATGCGCGTTGCCGACCCTTAAGAAACCTTAATATACCCTTCTTGAAAAACCCCATGCTGTAGTCTCTCGAGAAAACCTCGGCAGGTAGTTCATTCCACAATGTAAGTGTACGCGGGAGGAAGCTCCTCTGAAACCGCACTGTCCGAGACCACTTAGGTTCCAGCGTGTGGGGATGAATTCCCTGTCGATGGCGAGCGATGCGATAGTAAAAGGTAGCCGTAGGCATCATGTCAAACAATTCATCAGAACACAGTCCGTTGTATATTCGGTAGAACACACAAAGCGATGCGAAGTCTCGCCTCAAGCTAAGTGGTTCGATACCGTTTGAGAGATTGGGATCATCGACAATTCTCATAGCACGTCTCTGAACCGAGTCAAAAGGACCGAGCTGGTATCCAGGTGCTCCTGCCCAAAGATGAGAGCAGTACTCTATGTACGACCGAACTTGAGACTTATATTATACAATAGAAGTCTCTGGTTCGCAGTGAAGTACCGCCTCGCTCTATTCAGCACACCGAGCTTTTTGGACGCCAGCTTGACCTTTTCTTCGAGATGACTACGGAACTCAACTGTGCTAGAGATGTCGAGACCGAGAATCCCAATACTCTTAGAGATGGCGAGCGGTGCGATGGTAAAAGGTATTACCAATATTTTACTTACGTAAATGTGTCCATCTATCTGTTACTTATAAGCAACTAAACTACTAAACGAAACTTAAAAAAATTGATGGTATTGCAAATACATAGACAATCATGGATCTCAATAAATAATCTGATGTACGGAAAGGATGAAACTTGCAGTTGTGGTTACAGATAAAGTATACATATAAATAAAATTGGAGTGTCCGTTTGTAATATTGAAACAACCGTTTCTTACTACATGCATATGAATATAAATACGGTACATACACCAAAATACATTTTTTACAATTTTTGTCTGTCTGTCTGTTTGTTCGGGCTAACCTCTGATATGACTGCTTAACTTAGACTACTTTTATTAGTTTTATATAAAAATCAGGTTAAAAGCTAGTACTATATATATATAAATCTGTAATGATATGTATGTCGGTATACCACAGTGTTATAAAAGAATATATTGCATAGCCGGTGCGTTTAAAATAATGTTGAATATTAAAAGATCGGTCCATTTTGATACAGTTTGAAATATGTTCAGTAATCCCGAGTGTGAGCCTGGAATATATTGTGTGACTCGTAAACAACGCAGATGGTGCGTTGTGGGACATTTCTGAATCACTGCGGACGCGACACGAGAATACAATTGGCAACGAAATGAGTTAGGGGTGACGGAAATATTTACTAGAGGCCGACTTTAAAACGACGTGCGCAAACTTACGCAATATAAATAAGCTAATTTTACCTAAATGCCATCTGCACAAAATTAGTAACTCATTCTATGGTAATTGCATAAGATTTTATAATAAACTGCCAGAATCTGCATTAAATCTGACAGAGAGGCAATTAATCTTATATTAAACAATTTTTATGTAAGAAAGCCTATTACAGGATAGACGAATTCATAGACGACAACATATCAAGTAAATAATTAGTTTATTAACATACAACGTTATAATTTAATTTTCTCATTGTTTTCTTGATTTAATTGATTGATTTTAGAAATATGAAAGCGTAGCGGTTTTTGTATTGATTGCCGCATGCATTCTTATGTAAAATGTGAATACTATAACTATCAGATGGCAATTGTAAGTAGCTTTGACGTAGTCTAGTGTTTTGAGTAGTCATGCTCACTAAAATGTCCAGACTTGTGGCGGCGTGGTGGGCCGGGTCATTGGGCTCCCTAAAATGTGGTCGAGCGCAGTGATGGCTGGCCCATCCGTCATACTCGTGAACGGGTGCTGCTTGTAGGGACTGGTCTGCTCTAATCACTATGACTGATTTCCTCTTATTAATTGTTTAACCAGTGGGTTATATATTCAATATTTTTTTTCTATTTGAGTATTTAATAGAATTAGTGCTAATTGGGAGTTTGTATTCATACACTTAAACTTAAAAATGTAAAGTAATAATAAAATTATTTAAAAGAGCAAAACGCAAGTTTCTTGCTCGTTCTTCTTGTTATGAGACAGCTTTCCGAACGAGCGGTAGATTAAAAAATGTAATGACTATCCAAAAGTGCTTCAATGTAAGTTTATTTGAATAAATGATTTTCTATTTCTATTTCTATTTCGTACGCAGGTAACTCAGTCTCACCTAATCAACCGCTTGTCCCTGACGGGTCTAGGTTTGAAAAAGGGCGAGCACACTAATTTCATAGTCTAACAATGCAAACAGACAGACAAACGATCGAATCTTACCTCTTTATAATGCATACAAATACATATAAATAAAATTTGAGTGTATCTTTGTAATATAACAACAACAACTACAACAATATAACAGTTTTTTACTTTACATATGAATTAGATCTATGTAGGTCGCAGTGCTACAGGTAAAAAAAAATCAACCGCTAAGCAGCTGAGCAAGAAACTTGCTTATAATTTTATTGTTACTTCACATTTTTAAGTTCAATTATGAGAATACAAACTACCAACTAGCAGTAATTCAATTACATACTCAAATAGAGAAAATATTAAATATACAACCAACTGGTTAAGCAACTAAATAAGAGTAAATCAGTCGTAGTGATTAGAGCAGACCAGTCCCTACGAGCAGCACTCGTTCACGAGCCAGCCATCACTGCGCTCGACCATATTTTAGGGAACCCAATGACCCGGCCCACCACGCCGCCACATGTACATTTAGTGAGTATGACTACTCTATTTGTATTCTTAAAACAATTGAATGCGAAGCACATTCGAAATCATTACATGTATAAAACAAAGTCGCTGTCGTTGTCTGTCCGTCCCTATGAATGCTTAAATCTTTAAAACTACGCAACGGATTTTGAGGCGGCTTTTTTAAATGGATAGAGTGATTCAAGAGGAAGGTTTATATGTATAATACATGTACACCCGTGCGAATCCGGGGCGAGTAACTAGTTTGAAATAAATACAAAAGAGTTTTATGTCTCGATGGACTAATGAATCCATTACTAGAAATGTACCATGTCAGATAGACTTCACGCGGTTCCTGGCAACCATATTGATAATTTCCTTGTGAGTTCCCCACGATGAGGTAACAGATCTGACCTCATGCTCATCTTATCATGCTCCACTGGTGCCACTCCAGCGTATACCGTTGGGAGGTCTGTTGCTACTATGTGGGCCGGTGCTGGCTGGGAGCCAGTCTAATTCCTTGCTATCAGCAATCCTATATGGTAAAATAATGTTAAATATGTCATAGGCAGAAGAACAAGTCCACTTCAAGCTCATCTTATCATCCTCCACTGGTGCCACCCCAGCGTAAACTGTTTAGGCAGAAGAACAATCCCAAACAATTTCATTTTAAAAAATCAACTGGATCGTCAGTTTCTTGTCATGACAGCCTCAGTGGTCTAGCGGTTTAGAACATCGCTTTATTTCCGATGGTCGCGGGTTCGATTCCTCGCACAGTGCAAACATTTATATTCATGAGTATGATTGTTTGTATCAGTGTGGGTGTTTTCTGTGTATATTATGTATGTATGTACAAAATCTAAGTATTTGTATCAGTTGTCTAGTACACAAAACACAAGCTCTGCTTACTGTGTGACTAGATGGCGCGGTGTTAATTGTCCAAGCTTATTTATTCATTTGTCGTTTATACAATAAGTAAGTAAATTTTTAAAATAAGTTTATTCGCTCAATTTATAGAACTGCAATACAAATGTAATATGAAATGAAACACATCATAATTCAATGTCCGGCATGTTACCCTTTGTTTACTCCAACCCCCGTCCACGGGGTGAATGCGGGCGAGGGGCGTGTCGGATGACATCCCCGTTGCTATAGCAA